AGACCAACATTGAACTGTTTGGATGCCAGAATACACATCATGTTTGGAGGTCAAATGGCACTGCACATCAGCCCAAAAAGTACAAAGTATTAGACAAATTTCAGTAAGTGTGTTCAATACTTTTTCCCTGTGCCATTCCACATTATTACAAATAACTTCATTTCTGGACATTTATGGTTTGATTTCTTTGTATGTATGGATCACTTGGGTTGTTACCGACATCTGTTTAAAATTTCATGTCATTAGCACCTCTAGTAATATATTCACTGTGAAAACTGGTGACGTGTTCAATACTTATTTTACCCACTGTATTTGCATACAGTTTATTTCTGTTGTTGTGAGTATAAGAACCAAAAAATAAAAAAAATAAAAATTCTGTTATTTTTGGTCACATTTTCAAAGAGCCACTGCAGAGGGACCAAAGAGTCACATGTGGCCCACAACTGGAAATCATTCACAACACATACTGTGAGCAGGACATCTTGTGATGTTGCACAAGGTCTTTCATGGCCGAAACGGCCTCAACTCCATCATCGCTCAGCATAAGATGACCTTCCAGCCGGACCTTTATTTGACCGTTTCTGCAGATGATTTGGGCTGTTTGTGTTTAACGTCGTCTTCTCCCAACAGAAAGAAGAAGGGAAGGTCCAGGGCCAGCTGAACCACACAGACTCCAGCCAGTACATCCGCGACCTCAAAGATCAGATCGCAGAGCTGAAACACGAGGTGAGAGCGACACAAGCAGTGCCGAGTGTTTTTCTAACTTCATCCTAAACTAAAGGCCAAATCCTTCATGCGACCTCTCTCGTGACGGTGAACCCCGCAGAAGGAAAGCAGCAGTAAATAAAAAGAAGTAGAAACTGAAATGGAACAAGAAGTCTCTTGCAGAAATAAAAATAAACGACACTTCTGTTGATGCCACTAATTTGCTGCCTAATTTACATTATTTTGACCGTTTTGTCGACGTCTTTTGGAGCCTGTTGATGACACTTCTTTGTTGTAGCTTTTCACGCTTCTTCAGATTTTACTTTGAGCCCCACAGATTAGTAGAAGTGTTAACTACACCCAAAGACTTCCTGTGCTGATTTGACAGCGTGCCTCCTGCAGATATCGTCACAAACAAGACCGAGAGATTTTTTTTCGCTCAATGAAATGGAAACCGGTAGTCTCTAATTGCAGCACAGGTCCGAAGCTGCCACAAGTTCACAATAATTACTTGAATTTCTACTTATTCATCTGATACCTGTAAGGTGAAAGCATTTCTCTTCAAGCATGCCGTCTGAGTCGCCTTGTGCGTCAGTCGTTTCCCCTCTCACCTTTGTCTTAGATGCTTGGTGTCTGAAGAGTAGCCTGCTAGGAATCATGTAAATATTTAGTCTCTGCGGTGAACAAACCTGAAAGTTCAGCAGCTCACTAACAAGTCCCACCATCTTTCCCCGCTCACGTCTTCAACTACAAGCATGCATCGTGTTTCTGGAAAGTTTGACTGTAGCAGACGGATGACGGCATTCTCTGTGCCGTCACCGTAGACTGATTTGGTTCTGTTTGCTCTGAATGTGTTTCTTCCTACATGTCTGTCGGTTACCTGGCAGGCCCACCAAGGTGAGTTCACGGGACCCTTAAACCTTGCGTTACCCTCCGCTCATCAGGCCCATTTCAACTGAGGGGAGATTCAAAAGCAGAATTCCTAAAAGCTGCAGTTTGGCAGTGAATCTGATCTCTCAAAGCAGTCTCCATATTCTCAGATTAAACCAGATTTTCTCCCAAACAGTTTTAAATGGAGCCAGCTGTCCCACACATTGAACTGCACTACTGGTGTCCCGCTACTGATACCAACCTTTTTACAAGTACTAGTACTCGCCAAAAAAAAGCCCTAATACTCAAAACTGATACCAGTACCAAGTATCAATATTGAGATACCCGTAATGATACTGGGATGATGATTCAGTACTCGGCTGAGTGTTCCAGTTTACATTTCATGTGAAAAGTTTGTCCGTTTAGGTTGAATAATTTTATACCAATTGAAAGAAAATCTTATTTGTCATTTTTATTTATTTTAAAATGTTTCAACAGTATACAGGTCCTTCTCAAAAAATTAGCATATTGTGATAAAGTTCATTATTTTCTGTAATGTACTGATAAACATTAAACTTTCATATATTTTAGATTCATTGCACAGCAACTGAAGTAGTTCAAGCCTTTTATTGTTTTAATATTGATGATTTTGGTAAAAAGGTAAAGAAAAATCTAAAATCCCTAACCAAATCATCTGAATCAACAAATTAACTCTAAACACCTGCAAAAG